CCCACCCACTCGTGCACTGTCTTTTCACAGCCGCCGCCTACCAGACCTGCCCCGACCTCGGCCGCGTCGCCGCCACCCTCGCCGCCCACGGCCCCGGCGGCCTCGCGGCCCGCTGCGCGCTCACGCCCGGCGTGCCGGCCCAGCCGATGCTCGCCAGCCCCGCCACGGGGGTGGGTGACGCCCTGAAGAAGCTGGGGCCGGCGCGGGACGTGCTGGCGGAATGGAAGTACGATGGAATGAGGGCGCAGATCCACCTGATCTCGGCGTCCGAGGTTGGTGATCCGGGTTTGGGCGCCTGCGGGGCTGGGGGTTGGTTGTATGAGAGGGCATGCACGAGGGCAGCGCTTGCAGGGGGTGGGGCCGTCTCGCGTCCGTCGATGCGGGTATGGGCTTTCCGGACGATGCGTGGCGCCGCCTGCAGTCATGGTTGCACGTGCAGCCAGGGCGGCCCGTGCGGTGCACGTCCGACATCGGCTTTTGTTTGATCTTTGCACTCGTGGCTCACCAAACAAACTGGCTCCACCTGCCCCCACACGGCGGTCCACTTCACTCTTTCCCTTCATTGTCCTCACTCAATGATAAGGCCGGAAGCATGCCCACACATCGGTGCCTCTCCACCTCACACGACCGCAGGCGCGCGTGTTCAGCCGCAACTGCCAGGACTCCACTGCGGCGCAGCCAGAGGCCGTCGCGCAGCTGCGGGCTGCGGTCGCGCCCGGGGCGCTGCCGCTGGTGGTGGACGCGGAAATCGTGGCGGTCAGCCGGAAGCCGGAGGGGCGGCATTTGGCGGAGGCTACAGCAGCGGGCGAAACGTGCACAGAGCCTCAGCAGCAGCAGCAGCAGCAGCAGCAGCAGCAGCAGCAGCAGCAGCAGCAGCCCTATCGCATCCTCTCCTTCCAAGAGCTTGCCTCCCGCCCCCGCGGCAGCACCGCGCCTGCCGGCGCCAACAGCAGCACGCCCGCAGCCACTCCTTCTGCTGCCGCCGCGACGGCGGGCGTGCAGGTGTGCGTCTTTGCGTTCGACTGCCTCTGCGTGGGCGGTGACGTCATCACGGGGCTGCCCCTGCGGGAGCGGCGCGCGCGGCTCGCAGCGGCGCTGCCAGGGGTGTCCTTGGGGCGGGTGGAGCTGGCTGCGGCAATTGAGGTGCGGCAAAAGGGCGCGGCGGGGGAGCAGGGGCAGCAGCAGCAACAGCAGCGGCAGCCCGAGCAGGAGGTGGAGCAGGAGCAAGAGGAGGAGGAGCAGGAGCGGCAGCAGGATGAGGAAGAAGAGGGGCTGGGGGAGGACGAGGAGGAGGGTCAGGGGTGCAGCAGCGACGCCGGCGATGAGGGCGCGGAAGGTGCGAGCCACCAGCAGCAGCAGCAGCAGCAGCAGCAGCAGCAGCAGCAGCAGCAGCAGCAGCAGCAGCAGCAGGAGCGGCAGCAGGAGGAGCAAGCCGAGGAGGAGGAAGAGCCCGAGGCGGTCGCGGAAATCTTTGGCTTTTTCGAGGCGGCGCTGGCGCGCGGCGCGGAGGGGCTGATGCTAAAGCGGTTGGATGGGGAGGGGTCGGGCTACGCGCCGGCCAAGCGCAGCGACGCGTGGGTCAAGCTCAAGGTGGGGGGCGTGGCTTTGGAGGCTGGCAGGGTTCAGGGTTTTCAGTGGGAGGACAGTGCCAGGGTTCAGGTTGCTCCGTGGGCGAGTGGGGAGATTGGCAGGGGAGTTTGGGAGGGGAAGGGGCGCGGCTCGGGGCGGTGTGTGTGGATTGTAATAGGATGGCTGGGTGTGCGGGCGGGGGCGAAGGGATTTGCAGGCGGCAGGGGGGCCGTGAGGGGCGTGCATGGAGGGATTGGTGCTCTGTGCCCCCCATTTCCTGCATGCGCGTCTTGTATCCCTCTAGCGGCGTGCTCCCTCCTACCGCCACCCCTCACGCCCAACCACTTGCCACTCCACTCGTCAACTCAATCGATTTGTCGCTCCGCGCGTCATCACTACTCCGTGACAACAGAGGGACTATTTGGAGGGCCTCGCAGATTCATTCGACGCAGTGCCCATCGGCGCGTGGCGCGGCCAGGGGCGGAAGGTGGGCGCGGGAGCGGCGACGCGCTGTGCGGCCAGGGGCAGGCAGCAGTGGAGGAGAGCGAAGCCAGTGCGTGTAAGGACCCCCAACCCTGCTGCTGGTGGCGGTTGACGTGTTTGGCAGACCCACGGCTTCCTGCCTGGCAAGGGGGCTGGGGGGGACTCAACCCTTCCTCTCACACTCTGGTTTTCAGGGGTGTTCCCTCCCCAACCCGCAACCGCCAGGTCAGCTGACACCCTCACCTCCCAAGCATTGTGCACGATCAGATCGGACAGGGGTCCTCACCACAGCGCCCTCACTCCCGCCCACCGCCCGCCCTCTCGCCGTCGCTTTGACCAAATCTTCCCATGTTTGACCGCCCCGCCAGGTCAAGTGGCTGTCCCCCTTCCTGCTGGCTGTCTGGGACCCAGAGGCTCAAGAGTTCCAGTCGCTCTGCCGCGTCATGTCGGGATTCAGCGACGCATTCTGTGGGTATCAGACGTATTAGTCCGCGTTGTTGGGTCGGGGTCGTGTCCAGCGGCCCGGCCGCAGGACGCGTAGCCCCAGCAGCGCGAGCGCTCAGTGGCCCGCCACCTGCCCGTGCGTGCTCCTGCGAGTTGTGATTGCCAATAACCCCCCTTTCCGCCTTTCGCCTTGTGACCCGCTTGCAGACGCCGCGGCCACGGAACGGCTTATGGCCACTGCCATCCCCGGGCCAAAGCCGTATTTCAACACAGGTGGGTGATTTCATACCCGGTCATGGTACTGCATACGTAGTGACGACACGACAGCTGGAGGGGAGGCGGCGGTGTAGTGACAGTGCGCCGCAATTCCGCGGTGATGGTCAAGCCCACTGGAAGGCTTGATCGACCCTTGAAGCCTTTGCTGCACCAGGGCTTCTTCACCCCCCGCCTGGACCTTCCTCGCCTCTGCTTGACGTGGCCGGCTGCCAGGGCCCCTGCCGGCCTGCTTGGAAGCCGTCCTGTGCTCCTGGGGGGGAACTGCCGTTCGACCCCTGCCCCGCCGCAATTGCCTCGGCTTCATTATGCAGGCGAGCAGTGTGGGGTATGGTTTGAGCCGACCGAGGTTTGGGAGATCCGAGGCGCAGACCTGTCCATCAGCCCTGTGCACAGGTGAGCGTCCGACGTGGTAGTTTTATTGAGTGTTTTCACGCGCATGCAAAGTGCTGATCTTTCTTTGCAGCCTCACGTTTGAAAACTGCCGACTGTCTGCGTCCAGGTCGTTGGAGGTTGACCAGTTAACAGCCGCAGCACCCTTCTTGCTAAATGTTGATCCGCACGCACCTGCCCTCGACCCCCCGCCGCCGCGCCTGCTGCCTCCCTCACCCTCCGCCGACCCGCCAGGGCCGCCGCGGGGCGCCTGCACGCGTGGAAGGGCGTCGGGCTGCGCTTCCCCCGGTTCGTGCGGCTGCGGCCGGACAAGCGCTTGGAGGACGCGTCGGGGCCTGACACCGTGGTCGAGCTGTACCGCCGCCAGTCTCGCAGGGCAGTACAGTAGCAGGCGCAGTAGCGGGTGCAGCGGCCGGTGCTGCGGCGGGGGCAGCGGCGGTTTTAGTAGCAGGTGCCCGGGCGGTTGCAGTGG